AAAAAAAACTGTTTACCGTAGTTCATTTAGTCATAAGTTTATAATGATTGACTCGTCGGCAGGGAACAAGACCTTGGAAAATGCGTCTGCGTCCACAAGAAGTTCTATTTCCAAGGCAGAAGGGATCGCAGTATGCAGCGCTCTCATTTTATCTTCGGTCCTTATCATTGCAGGAAACTTGCTCACTCTGCTTCTCTTTGCAGTTACCAAACCACTTCGTAGGAAAAGTTTATTTTTAGTCATGAACATGGCGTTTGCTGATTTGATGTTAGGAGCCATCACTCTGCCCTTTTATATTTACGTTAATGGAGGTTACTATCAGCTTTGGACAGCAAAATATGACTCTGAACACATGGCCTACAGAATATTTTATACAAGTTTCGATAGCATACTTATGTATGGCTCATATATATCTGCAGCCTCTATTTCTTGCGAGAGACTTTATGCCGTATTTTGGCCGTTTAAACACCGTTCATTATCCACCAGAACATACCGCGGCATCATTTTCTTAATTTGGACATCCGCTGTCTTGGTGTCTACATTAACAACTTTGTCATATGTTTTGAGTTCATTTGAATCTATTTTCTTGGTTTTCATCCCCGTTTCGTCGGGTCTAACACTCATCATATGTTTCTGTAACATCGCGATCTGGAGAAATTTTCAACGCGAGAGTGTTGCCTCACAGCATCGAAATGGAGCTTCCCGAAACAGACGCTTAACAAAGACCCTACTTCTGGTGTCCATACTGGCTTTAGTATGCTGGCTTCCCTTAATTATCATGAACCTATTAGTCTATATATATGGAACTGAGACATTAATAGCATGGGTTTATTTCATGATGAACACTCTTAATTATTCTAACTCTTTTGTCAATCCGATTGTGTACGTATTTAGAATTCCTGAGTTTCAGCAAGCGCTGCGTTCTTGCTGTACGAAGGGGAGACCAGCTATTGAGATGGTTAAAATCGAGAAAAGAAACCGCCCAACGTCAGAAATAGAACTAAGAAATTTTACGAACCGATCCCACTCGCCTGCTAGTTGAGGTTAAACGAGAAGATATGGAAACTAGGTTTTATTCAGTTGAGATAAGAGGACCGCTGGCGTTGTTACTGAGTAGTGACATTCATAGGAGGCAGCAGCAATAAATGTGCAGTATTGTAAGAAAATAGGATAGCGTTCTTAGATTTTCGATTTTATGCTTCACAGAGCCCTGTTGTTGTATAGGGTTGCTTTTTGCAGTAACCAGTTAAGTATGAATTTCATCCAATAATAAAAATATGTTGTTTTATTTATCCTATCTGAGATAAAATAACCTGTCATGTTATAAAAAAAAATTAACTCTCAATAAATATGATAATTCTAGCTCTTAAGTTCTTGCTTAAATTCACACACCTATACTTCTTGGTTAATCAGAACATGTCAATAGCCATCTTACCGACCGCGCCCTCAAGAGTTTGAAATGAAAATACATGTTATTTGCCATTTATTATAAGGATAACGATCGGGT